GTGCTGCTATTGTTATTACTTGCTGGCAAGTCAGCATCAACTCATGAAGGCCCCAGGTGCAACAGAACAAAAGGGTTCCTGTTCCTGTGCCAGTTTAGACTGGGGAAAGTAGCACTAAATCTCCTTTCTGGGCAGTGTGTAACACATAAGCCCCTATGGCATTGTGTTCAGGCTTTTTGCAGATGTTTCCTTTCCTCACAAATCTCTGCCCATATATCTGACTCTGGATCATCCTAGCTCAATGTAGGGATGGCCAGCAGTTGGGTCACCAAGCACTGCTGGGCCTATTTCCCTTTGTCGGATGCTTTAGGGAGGCCTGACCCTATATAATCAGCTGTTCAAGTATAAAAAGAACTCAAATGACCAGGAATAAGAAACACATCATGATGGTTCTGCTTCTTCTAATGAAAGTGTAAAGGCTGCCCACATTTCTCACCATTGTGAGAACATGGGAACAGTCCATACGTCCAACCACAACCAAATGGACTGAGAAACTGTGGTACATTTACACAATGGAAAATTGTGGAGCACTTAGGAGCAATGATTTAAATACACACACACACACACACACACACACACACACCTACCTTAGAGAAGGAGAGCATTATGCTGAGTGAACTAACTCAGTCTTATAAGGACAAATACTGCATAACATCACTCTTATAAAAATAGAAGGGTAACTAGTAAAACATTTATGGGAATCCAAGGGAGGAAGGGGTGAGAGCAGAGGGATGTGGATGGGTAAGGGTGAAATTACAAGGTTGCACAATATGGTGGGTGGAGGAAGTTAAAGAAATGGAATGGATCCAGTAAGGATCTGAAAAGACAGGGTAATGATGGGCAAGCTCCAATGGTGATTAATTTTATAAAATATAAAACATAAGGCATGAGAATGACTCTATGAAACACAATGTGAATGAAGAATAGTGTGAAACACAATGTATAAGAACTTTGTAAGCAAACCAAGAAAGTAAAGGCTGCCCAGAGGGCATGCTGGGGGCCCAAGTGCTCATGGGAGAAAAATGCTTGGCATAGTAGGTACCTGGGGGCAAGGGCTTGACCTCACCTGGGCTGACAGGAAATTGACTCAGAGGTTACAATTTCAGAGGACAAAGGGATGTCCACTCCTGAGACTCCTGAGTAGTAACCAGGCTGCTGTCTGATAATAGATGAGAGATTGCTTCTTCTTATTCTTTCTCCAGTTTTTATATGGAGCAAGGGAAATATATTCAATTTGGGGGGGAATATTTATGATAAAATATTGCAACATCATCAAATACATGTGACTGATGAATAAATAACACATGGAAAGTTCTCTGTAGGAAATGTGTTGGGCTCATACTGAGAATGAACATCTAAAGATGAAGACTTTTTCTTAAGTCAGAGAGAAGAATGGGACACTATCCCAACATAACAGATGGGGTTGTTTCTGGGCAGAGGACTGATTACTCATCTTTACTTTCTCACTATAATGAATGTGGGGCATTTTAAAAATTCTAATAGATATAGGCCCTTCTCTGAGGTGGATTGATTCAGTGACTGCAGTAATCAGGATGGGTGTGTCAGAGGCAGTGTGATTGGCACAGGATAGAACAGGGTTTAGGGTTGTTGTACATAGGGTTGCTATGAGTCGCAAATGACTCAACGGCACATAACAACAACAACAACAATAGATATAGTTTAAAAATTAAAAGGAAACCAGTAAGAAGATATCCCTATCCCATCAATGTCAATTCTGGAATGTTACATTTGATCTCAGACCTTTTTTCTCTGGGTCCTCTGCAGACCCTAATTTATTTTCCTTCAAACTCTTTATTATCTTACCATATCAATATACATTTTGGTGAACAAGCTGTAAATAGATTGGATACTGGCCCTTGGTCTGGGCCCTTGCTCAAATTGAAGCTTAAGAGAATAGGCCACATTAACTTGGGGTAAGGGGTATGTCTGTCCAGCAAGAACTATTTCTCATCTGGGTGTCCTTACACTAGAAGCAGACTCTAAGCTGTATACCATGGAGCTGACACCTGGCCTTGATTCTGTGGTCGCTGTTACAAATCCAGGACTCATCTGTCAAAACTGACTTAAGATGTGCTTACAAGGCTGGGCCTAATGTCAGGGAAACCTGGGCTTCCATAAATTCTGATGTGACCCTCAGTTATTAAAATATTGCCATGTGGACCTCCTGGTAAAGTCTGCTAGCTATCAGGAAACAGAAAACTTCTGAAGCGAGTTGCTGATCTCTTTGCTTCATGTCGGCAGTGTGAACTTCTCTGTGATTTACTTATGTGGCATCTATGTCTGTCTGCATTTCAGTCTAGGTCTGTTTCTGACTATTATCTGTGCAGTGTCCTACATTTATACAACCTCACATGTTGTTCCCTAAGCTTTCTACTTAAGCTTAAAGGACCTCAGCATCGAAACATTTAGTTGATCCTTACCTTTATGTGTTACTCCTGTGTTTCCCTTGCCTGGAACAGCTTCTTCCAAGCTTTTCACACGTTCAAATTCTTCAAATCTCAATAGCTATTCCACTGTGTTCAGGAATTATTCTTTTGTTGCTATGGAGTACTAATGTTAATTGCTACCACTAGCTCTCACACCTATGACTCCTTCTAGCATACTGGGGTTTTTTCCTCATGTATGTTCTATCTCTTCTCCAAGCCTGTGAGCTACTTAAATAAGAGTTGAGATCGTTAGCCATATCTTTTAATGATGATTTTAGAAGAGATGCATGGTTATACTTTGCATAGGTCTCCTTAGCTTATGTCTGTCCTTTCACACAACTTGTGCCCATCTGGGACCTGCCACTTTCTGACTGTGCTTACCCAATGAGGCAGCGTGTAAAAGGCAGTTTCCATCCCCTGTCGTGGCCAAAGGAAGAAGCCGTTTACAGCTTGTGCATGCTGTGGACCACCAGTTCAGGCGACCTGAAACAGAAGCTCACTTTAGAACATAATCCCAGAAAGGCAGGTACCATTGGTGAGTGTGTTTGCTAAGTCGGAACAAGAGCAAACTGTTTTCTAGGAAATTTTAAAAACTTTATGGAGGGAGGAGAGTTGTATTTACTTTTTCTCAAGAGAAATTGTTTTTTTGTTTTTCCCCCCTTAAGACAATGGTCAAATTGTCCAATTAACTAGCAAGATGATTAAGAAATATAAGATCACAACCTTCTCTCCAAGATCTGGGAGCATATTTCATACAAAACATAAAATGTCTCTGTGTTATTTTCTTGAACACAGTTTCTTCTCCTGGAAGTTATTTTAAAATTATTAATTTCATGCATAATCTTGAAAATAAGGTTTACATTTAAGATCTCAAAATGATAATACTGCTGTTGTGTTGTCATGTACCGTAGAGTGAGAACCAATCTATAGCTGACCCTCTGGTGGGTTTTCAGAGGCAGTTAATTACATGAGAGGATACTGCCCATTTTTCTCCTGTGAACAGCCTTGAACCAGTATTGCAGCGCAGTTTCTTGCCACTAGGCCACCAGAGCTCCGTAGCTACTAAAAAGTAGTCATGTTCAAGTTCATTAATACTTTCACTTCTACTGTGGGAAGATCAAGTAGACACATTTTCTCTATTCCCAACTCCTAAGTACTACGAAGAGTTGGCCATTATATATGAAACAGTGTATATATGAAATAGCTGAACAGTAGAGAAAAGGCAACAGGGTGAATAGTTAGCTGGGACTGAATAACAATATGACAGTTCTCTTTATTTTCTTATGTATCCTTGAGTAGGTGCTTAAGAATGGCAATATGGAAATACTAATTAGAGTAGCAGGGTTTGGGGGAGCCCTCAAAACTCTAGAAAGGCCTGTTTTCTGTAGATGAAGGACAAGAAAAGAAAATGGTGGTGGCTACAATATTGTGTGTCAAGGTGACCACAATCCTCAGTATAATGTAACTCCCTTATATGTTGAATTTTTCATTAAAAAAAATTCAACATAAAAATTCAAACCTCGAGTTGCTATAATCAAGGATGCTTTAGGAAGAATATTAAATGATCCAGGAAGTATTAAAGAAGATGGAAAGAAGATACTGAGTCACTGTATCGAGAGGGATTGGCAGACAGAAGAATTTAATGAAATAACATATGAGCCAGAGCCTATAGTAATGAAAGAAGAAGTTCAAGCTACTTTGAAGGAAAAAGCAAAAAACAAGGCCCCAGGAATAGATGGTATATCAGTTGGGATATTTCAGCTAACAGATGCTGCCCCGGATGTGCTCAGCAAGTTGTGCCAAGAAAACTGGAGAACAACCACTTGGCCAACTGACTGGAAGAGATCTATATTTGTTCCCATTCCAAAGAA